AATTCCCTAAAATTCTAAGATTTCCAAGACCCCAATCTTCAAAATTCACTAGCCCTTAAATTTCCAAGTGCTCAAACTTGAAAATTCCCTAGTTCTGAAATGTCCAAAATCTCAAACTTAAAAATTCCCTAGTTCTTAAATTTCCAAGTACTCAAACTTGAAAATTCTCTAAAATTCTAAGATTTCCAAGACCCCAATCTTCAAAATTCACTAGCCCCTAAATTTCCAAGTGCTCAAACTTGAAAATTCCCTAGTTCTGAAATGTCCAAAATTCCAAACTTAAAAATTCCCTAGCTTTGATATATGTGAGTAATCAATACTTACTATATTTCCAAATTTTCAATCTGCGAATTTTCCAGATCCCCAAATTTCACAAATCTCTTCAATAATTCCCTATATGAGTACTAATATTAATATCCGATATGAATACTAGTATCAATACCAAATATCAACACATTACTATTAAAAATAAAGTCCGTAGCTCACTCCAAAAAAATAGTCCTCCCCAATTACGCCAATGCAATTTCAATTATCTAATTCCTCAACGATCTGAACGCCCGACGATTAACAGTAAACTAACGTTCGTCCCGATCAAATTTACGTCAAATTACGCGCGAACGCGCTGCGCACTCGGCATAATAATCCCGCGAGTCTCCACGCTGTTCACGCTCCGTACGCAATATTACTATCCTCGCCGCGCGCACGAAAAGAAGATAACCGTACTTTCATTGATACCGGATGCGACGCGCCTCATCGAGAATTTCGATATTCGTTGTCCGGAAAAGAAAGTCGGAAGTCGTACGGAACTTCCTTCATCAAGTCGATTCTTATTCAACTTGCATAGCACACGATTTTACGTCAATCGAACGACGCGCTCCCGATTGCGAAACATTTATTGTAAGCCCTTGATACCTGAACGACGTTTGAATTCGACGTCGCGTTCCCGCGTTGAAGGTCTAATGCGACGCGCATGCGCCGTGGACGGAACCGACGCTCGGAAAAATCTCGCGGGCGAAAAGACTCGAGAGGCAGGATGCAAACTTCAGAGATCTGGCAAACCTAAGACATCTAAAATATCTTCTAACCGATCTTAGTTCCCCGTCTAAGTTTCTTTTGACGAAGTTTGAACTGTCCTAACCCCCAAGATTGGGGCACCGTAGGCGACATGGTTCCTCGTGCTTTTGACGAGGTATATGCACTTAGATCGATATTCTGTATTTTGTAACGAAATTTAATATTTTGTAATAAGTTTATTGAGAATGTCTGGTGTGAACTGTGGAAAATTCTGGAAAATGGCGAAGTTTTGGTTTTAGTGGGTTGGTGGCCATAGTATTGAGGTTAGTGGAAATACACGTGTAGATGGAAATAAATTCTTATGGTAATTAAAAAGAATGTGTGTCAAGATAATTCCTACTATTACTAATCAAAATGCACCTTGTTTTTTATCTATCGCATGTCGTACGTGTATGTCTGTTTTACAATTATTCTAAAGCAACAGTAATTTTACCATGAGAGTCGTTACGTTAAATCGCTCGCCATTTTGTGAAACATTGACTACGGCACACGAAAGATATTTTAATAGAGTCTTAATTCTCTATTCGATTTTCTTGCTTAGAAATATTAGACAATATCTAATTTTTTCTGTATGTAACAAAATATTTTAATTTTTCAGAAGTTACGTGACTACAATAGTCACACTATCAAATCCAACTTCTACAGTTAAGGACACAAGTCACACTGGTCATTAACAAATTATTAATACTGAGTTTTGGACGGAATAGGTTACACTAGCATACCTCTGCAAGTACACTGATATGTACATAAAACACAGACTAACTTTTATTACAAATCTTTAAATTAAGAAAATGTCTAGTCAACTGAGACATGTGCATAAGGTCTGAAAGAGTCAACTCTAGCAGAAGTACCCTGCTACCATTTTGGATGACCCCTTCAGCCCATTTTTTCAGAGCCATATCTCCACCATTTTGCAGTATTTTTCCATTTAAAAAAATCTTGAACCTTTTCAGAAAGTGTATGTTCAACCACCAAACAGCCTGCAGTAATCTTCAAAAGATTCTATCTAGTCTTCCTAAAGCCTAGGTGCATATACCTTCTTCACCCTCTGGAGTCCACGTTTAAGTACATAGATTATGTTTATAACTTTTACAGAAGTTATACTTGTCAAAAATATAATGACGTGGAACATAAATCCCATTTTAACATTAGGGCAAACTAAAGTCCTACTTTAACTAGGATTGTCAGGATTGTCCACATAACATCACATGATACATCACTAGATGATTCTTCACCGGCTTGCATGACGTTATGTCATCCGTTTTGATTAGTACAAACTATCATGTATAATAGTACTGAATATGTATAAGTTACAGTAATGGTATGTGTAGCTCTATACAGCAGTACATAAGCAGCTCAGGTGCCAAACTCCTTATCATCCTCTATACAATTTCAACATCAAAGCATGCGACTAACACACAAAAGTATCACTTTTCAGTATCTGACTCCAGCAAATGAACGGCTCACATACAGCTGTACACATTTGCCTCTGACAATCCTGAAGGCAACCTTCATCTGACAACACTTCTACACAGTTGCAACTTTCACCTGGCAACCACGGTTGCAATCTACCGGAAACATCCCATAGGACTCCAAAGGGTGCAATTTGAATTGCCAGTGAATCGAGTCGGAGACGAGTAGCGGCGATAAACGACGAGCGTGTAATTGCTATTAAGCCGGCAGTCGGCGACGGTGCCCGTGACGCGGGTTATCGTCTATCTACTCCAGGGATATCCACGGTGTTCCATTGTCGATCGTGGATCGATCATGGGAAGCAACACGGTAGCCAACAAGCGGTAGGAGGCGCGGACGCGTCTGGCGCGCGAAAAGAGCCGGGGGACAATTGAGTGCCCGTTCGAGTGGGGTAGTACTACCGTTGGGGATGCGAGTGCGACATGTGAGGATGATAGGTGTGATGGGGCGGCAGAGGCGAGGGACAGGACTGCTGATAGGGGCCCGCGGCGAGCATGGGCCCGGGACTGGAGCAGGG